TGTCGGTTGCAGTAAATGGTCGTAGGCACACACAGTTTTTAAACGACAAAAAAGGTTCTGAACTACAGTAAAGTACTGCGGTCTCTACAGACCCATTTTTTATACAAATGTGATAAATAAAAATAAAATTTTTAATTAGAATATCCATGTTTAATATGCAGTACGATTGTGATCAATTACATTACGGGATTTCTGAACATATGACATCACAATTGTTTTATTTGATAGGAAATTTAGAATTGATTGTTTCACCCGTATATCTAATCTCATAAATCCTTGTAAATGATCCTAAACACTAAATACACGAGGAAAAAAAAGCTCAAACCAATAAGACAAATGATTTAGCTAATTATCTCACTGTATATACTTGTGATGAATTTAATAATTATTGTCTCCATGCTGATCATGGTAAACAACGTGGCAAACCCAAATAATATGTCAGTGGTATCCTCACTTATATCTTTATTCATAAAAAAGACCATAACTGCATATAAAATAAAAATTACTTAAGACTTCACTTATTTTTCTTAAACAATATTGATATATGAAAGTATAGGAGATTTGAGATTTTAAAATATCATATAAGATATTCATTTCTTAAAATTTATTGAACTGCTCTTTCTCAACAGTCTTCCCACTGTTGAATTTGCAATTAATATTCTTATTGGAAATTTAAACACACATAAAAAAATAAAAAATATATTTCTTAAATATTTTAAAAGATTTTATTTATAGTTTTATACAAACCGTCATCTACCTTGACAAGTTTTTATTTAATATGACGGTGCGCCGCGTAAACAAATTTCTGTTTGTTTACGCGGCGCATCGTCTTCAAAGTTCAAAGCATGTAAAGGGTTTTCTTCATTGTCAATTGTCTGTGGCCTTGTTTATTGAGCGAACTGGCGTACTGGGTTTTCTTCATCTTTCCATGATACCATGGATCTTGCATTTTTTAATAATTCCTTCTCCCTGTTTTTTTTTTTATCCTATTGATTGTCTTCACTGGAGTACTCAAAGACTCATGCTTTATTCGAAGCATCCTTTTCCTTTTTGTTTTTCTCATTCGTTTCTTCCAGAACAATGCGCCGGCGGCAGCCAAACGGTCCCTTGCCAACATCTTCAAGGGATTCTAGGATCTCCTGCAAAATATTTTGGGTGAAATATCGTAGATAATCCATCATTTTTAGCTAATTATCAAATATCATATATAAACTTCATAACATTTATTTATTTTCACAGCTAGTTTGTTTGCAATGAAATTCTTTTTCTTACTGTATATATGATAGATAATTAACGCGCGCGCATATATGTATGTATTGGGTTTTAATGGATGCGTTAATTATCACAAGAGTTAATTCACAGTGGATTGATAACCTGTATCTCAGCTAAACGTCCGTTATATATGTCCTTGATGCTCAGCTTTTGCTTATTAAGGCCATATATTCCTTCTTCTCTAAACCGAAAAACAAGTAACCAGTTGTCGAGCTTGAGTGCTAAAGCAGCAATTAGATGGAAGGGCGTGTTTCCTTTGTCATCCTTCTTCGTTTTAAGTCTTGCAAGTTCAGGAATCTCCATACATTCCTTGAATACTTCTCTATCTTTCGTTGCCACAGCATAGTGAAGGGCATTCCAACCTCTGTTATCAACTAGCTCACAACAAGCTGGACATCCAGAAACAATCTCTTTCATTACGTCTACATGTCCTTGAATGGCAGCGATGTGAAGTGCTGTTCTCTTCTTCTCCGTTTCAGCAATGTAGGCCGCGGACGCATCATGTTCTAGTAATACTTTCACAACTGAAATATTTAACCTAGTAGAGAAATAGGCAGCGTAGTGAAGTGGTGCCCAGCCGTTCTCATCGGTTGTTTTCGTCAACGTTTTTTCTTTTTCCAACAATTTTCTTGCTGTCTCTGAAACCAACAAAACAAGCAATAAAGTTCTCCTTCATGAACAACAGAGATTTAAATAGCTAATTATGAAGCAAACACGGATATATATATATATATATATATATATATAATCAAATATGTCAAGAAATTTTTTAGTAATTTATTTAATATCAATATTATTAAAAAATAGTTAATATATATAATTATTTCTGTATTTTTTAAACAGCATGTGATACATCATATGATGATATCATATGATAGTCATATCATAATTTATATAAAATAGCATTTATTTCATGTAGGCTTTTTTTCCATCCTAATATGGTACATGTTCCAAACAAATCTCTAGTTGGGTATAAGTGATTTTTTTTTAATTTTTATGATAACCCTGTAAAATTTAAAAGCAGTTTTTTAATTTATTATTTCTTTATTTTTAGTTTTTTTATTACTGTTTGTTTTATTTGATATGATTTATAAAATTAAAGTTTTTTCAATTTCATCCTCTTTTAATTTTTTTATATTTTAGATTTGATTATAGTTCTTTTAATTGATATTTTTTTCATTTGAGATGAATTTTAAAAGTTAATTTTTTTTTACAATTTTATTCTTTTTATGTTTTTTCTCCTTATTAATTTAATCCTCATTATTTTAATTGTTTTTTTCTTACAAATATTTTAAAATTAATTTTTTTATTACATGCCTTAATATTGAATTTGTTTGAAATTAAGCATCTTGATTAAGCTCATGTATAGATTTCTTGAGTTGTAAGTTTAAAAAATTAATTCAAGTTTAGAAATTTACCTAAATTTGCTTGGATTTTTTTTTAAGCTCATATTTTTTTCAATCTCATTTCTCTACATTTATTTAATTAGAGATTGAACTCCATTATTTTTTATTTGTTTTTTATATGATCTTTCCTTAATTTTGATAATAACCCAAGTTATCTCAATTTTTTTAATTTATCATTCTCTATTAAATTTAGTTTTTTGTAGAAAATATTTTTCAATTATATTAAATTAGTTGATCATATATAAGCATTAAATATTCATTTTATGATATTTTATACAGTTTACTTTTTAGGTATTTGCTCTGATAGTTCGTTTGGTCTCTCTTGATGTCATTATGAAACCTCTTGTAATGATATATGAATCGTCTTGATAAGTTTTTTTTAGTGGTTTAGCGATGTTAATGACAGAGCTTCAATGAGCTTTTCTTTTTTCTACTTCTAAATATGATACTAACATGTTATTTTTTATAGTTAATTATTATTTTTTTTGTGTGTTATTTATAATATTTTTAAAATTATATCATTAAATTAATTAGGTTTATTGAACTAGTTAACTCGATAATCTAGATCTCATATTTTTTTTACTTCTTTAAAAATATTAGTATTATTTTAATATTTTTTAATGTTAGGAAAAATTTTACTGAGCTCACAGCATAACACAAGCTATCTATATTATTTTTTAATTTATTTTAGGAATATATAAATTGGGTTTAGAGATTTAAAATTCATTTTTATCTTTTTTTTTATTTAGGAAGGATTTAAAAATAAGGTGAAAATAATTAAATACATTGAATTTAAACTTCATTCCTGAATAAATTAATTGTGAAATGTTTTTATTTTTATTTTTAGAATGCCTAATGTATATTTATTGACGTGGCGGTTAAATATAATTTTACCTGCTAATTTTCCGAGCTAAGCCAGTCTAGCTGCTTATGTGTCTGGCGAGGACTTTGAATTTTGAAACGTTGCGGGCATGTGAGTTGATCATTACCGTATGAAGAAATCTTTGAACTAATTTCCGGCTCCGCCACAATCGTAGCAGTACGCTTAGAACTTGATGCTTACATCACGACTGTACGCAATGACTATGTTTGATATGGTTCTTATGATTTGAAGACCAATCAGTGATCAAAATGGCAATAACTAAGAGCAAGTCTTCAATTTTTTATCTGTCATTTTCATTAATCGCCTAATCAGAATGTTTTTGTCTGTAATCAAAATGCAGTCCACTCTATTTCATGCTGTCAAATTATTTTGTATTATATTAAACTATATTTAATTTCTCATTACAAGAGCATGTAAATTATAACAGACCGTTTTGGTAAGCCTGGGTGCATAAAATTTTAAATTTATAAATATATAAAATAAAATTTAAGATAAATATGCATTCAACATTAATATATATATATATATATGTAAAAATAAAAAACTAGTATGCTTAATAAGTGTGCGTGTAAACTTTCAATGCATATAAGATCAAAGATTTAGCAAGAATAATAATAATAAAAATAACAATGCTTAGATTAAAAAAAATAATTATTTGTTAAAACACTTTTAAATGAATGAAATTTTTTATTGTTGTCAATAATAAAATATTAGTCTTTAAGAGTTTATTGCTCTTTATTTGTATAATTAAAATGTTGGTAGCATGTATTTCAACAATATCATTTTAATTTGAATATATTTTTAAACAAGATCTTTGAACAAAAATATATATATAAAAAACTCAAATATCTCTTCATAAAATATGAATCTAAACATTTATAAAAAAAATATAAATGATTTATGTCGTGAATTTGACATATTAACACAAGATAATTAAGGTTATTTTTTGTTATTTTTTATTATTTATTTTTAATTTTATTATTTAATATTAAATTAATTAAGATTTAAGTTTCATATTTTGTTTTGAGTTTTTTTCTAAAAAGTTATCGAGGTTTTATAACACATATCATAAATTTAATAGATTAATTTGGATCTATCTAATAAATTGTCGTTCAATATATTTGTTTTAGAAAAAGAAGATGTCATCCTAAGATTTTCTAGAGTTAAAATATATTTTTACTAGTTATCTGAGTTGTCTTTGAACTTATCAAATTAACTAGCTCAAATTAAATCAACCTCTATACAAATACAATTTTTTTATTAAAAAAAATACGTTAACGATGCTTTTAAACATAGTTATTAAACTCGGCCTGAGGGTTAACATGACAAAGGGGCTGAGTCTCCAGTTTCATAGGTCAACCCGGGTTCACTCGAGTCAACTCGGATCAACTAGGAAAAATTAAAAAAACTAAAATTTTAATATTTTATATGAAACAATTAAGAAAAATATCAATGTAAATATAGGCTATACATATTGTAAATAATAAAATTTTAAAAAATATTTAAAATTTTTTTATCTCATATTAAAAGGATATTATGTTAAGTTTTTAAATTGAAG